CAAGGCCTATGAGTTGTCGATCCTTAAAAGGAATGTGATCATGTGTTTTCCGCCGTCTCCGAGATTGGACCCCGTAAACCACCACACTCCACCCATCCCAGCATATGGGGTGCTCCAGCAAATGATATCGTTGTCTCGCTAGACTCTCTTATCTAGCGCCTTGGAATTTGCTTGATTATAATGGAACTGCCCATTAGATTCGATGCTGATCACTGCGCGCACCTATTCGGCCTCCCAGACCCCAGACCAAGGTGCAGCACAGCCTAGCAATCAAAGGTCGCGTTTTCATACCCTCTCCGGCTGGGAAACAATTCCGGTGGATACAAAGGAACCGACCGACATGTTGTTAATCCATCAAGTTGGTAGTGTCCGTGTTGGGGAAGTCGTTAGGTGAGTCGTTCTTGCTTCTCCAGTCCGAAGTCCTTCTGGATTGCTAATAGTAAACCGACCATCAGATACACGATTACGTACACTCCGGCGGCCGACCCGATCCTGCCCATCCCTTCAAATCTCTACGTGAGGGTGAAGAACACATCTGCCATCCCACTGCGCGCCGCATACCTCCATGGCCCGTACACGCTATACGCCGCGTGCTATCCCACAAAGTTCGACCCCAACACCAAATATGAGCGACAGGATCTGGAGGGTACACCGCAGTTTGAGCCCTACCTTAAGGCCGGAGGTGGTTGGGACGCCGTCATCAAGGTGCCGGCTAACCTCCAGGAAGCACACGACTTTGGCTCTCCGGGTCAAGGTGGACCGGCAAGTGGACATAGCGTTAGCTGGATTGTTGAGATTCAATCGCAGGTGATATTCTCAAGTAGTGCAGCGGTGCATTTTGAGCTTCTTGTGGGTCGTGATGAAAAGTCGCTGGCATATTCCTCGGGCGGTACATGGAGTAGTGGAAATAGCTCTCCAGGGCCTCCGGCAAAGTTACAAGACCATTGGCTGCCTGGAACTAGAGGTAGTCAGGTGCTTGCCTCGAAAGGCGTGTACTCAAAATCAATCGCTCTTCAAGTTGACGATACAACTAGTCTATGGAGCAGTCCGCCATTCCCCTCAGCGAAGCCTGCTTCCAAAAGCGTTGAACGGAAGAGTCATGACTCGCAACCCGTGTGTGATAATCCAGTACCGGAGGAGTCTACGGAAGCTCCGATGAAAAGCGCCAAAAAGAAGAAGGTGCATCTCGTGTTACTGACACATGGGTTGCACAGCAACCTCGGTGCAGACATGCTCTATTTGAAGGAGAGCATTGACACAGGCATGAGAAATTCCAAGAAGAAAAAACGTCAAGCCAGAGATCCCCATGCTAGCCCTGTTGTAGACCGAGAAAACCCGACAAGGTATGGAATTCCTTTCTGAACGTTTAGGTGTCTCAAAATTCTAATCCCGAATTTTCTCAGCAGTAAATCCAGTCATACTGAAGAGCAAAATAGCCAGTCTGGTGATAACTCCGACGATGACGATGAAGAGCAAGTCATTGTTAGAGGGTTCTCTGGCAATGCTGTTCGGACTGAGCGTGGGATTCAATACCTCGGCAAACGGCTGGCCAAATATGTCCTGCTTCTCACATATCCCGATCAACCCTATTTCCCTCTCAGAGGCTCAAAGCCGAGCCCATTTGCCCGGCCTTTTAGTGCTCGCAAGGAGCGAGCTGAACCATTTTCTCATTCGGCTGAATCAACCCCTCAAGAAAATGCCCATGAATTTCAAGATGAAGACCATGCTTACCAGATTACAAGCATTAGTTTCATTGCCCATTCTCTTGGCGGGCTGATTCAGACATATGCAATCGCATATATCCAGAAGCACTCGCCTCAGTTCTTTGAGCAAATCAGACCCGTTAACTTTATTGCCCTTGCAACCCCTTTTCTTGGTCTCAGCAATGAGAATCCAATGTATGTTCGATTTGCATTGGATCTAGGTCTAGTTGGTCGTACCGGCCAAGATCTCGGGTTGAGTTGGACGGCACCGAAAGTTCGAAGTGGCTGGGGTGCCATTATTGCTGGAAGAGGAGAGTCTGCAAAAGACCCCGGCCATTCAGATCCTGGCTCCAAGCCACTTCTTCGGATTCTTCCTTGTGGTCCTGCCTACGAGGTTCTTAAGAAATTCCAGCACCGCACAGTCTATTCGAATGTGGTGAATGATGGGATTGTTCCTTTGCGGACGTCTTCTCTTTTGTTCTTGGACTGGAAAGGTTTGGATCGAGTTGAAAAAGCGAGGAGGGACAATGGACTTGTTGGAACCATGGCCGAATGGGGGTGGGCAGAGTTGACAGGCGCCAACTCGAAATCCCCGCGACTTGCTCGCCACGATGGAGAGTTGCCTTTGAATCTCCCAATGGAGGCCGGTCATCATCATGCATATTCTGCGACCAAGGTTCCCCCAAGGCCCAAAGACGATGTCTCTGACGAAGATACAATCTCCCCGAGGCCGGCACAATTCCTGGCACCATCCAGTCATGTGTCCAGCAACAAAGTTTCAGAGGAAGGTGTTCTGAAAGAAAACATCCCTGGAAATACCTCTCACAGTCCCATGGACAGCTTTTTTTCTCTGTTTCGCCCAACTCAGAACAAGAATCCCCCCAATAGCAAGAATGCTAGAATTTATAAGCGTAGCCAGACCCTGAGCACTTTTGAGACTGGCGACAGCGATAGCACAATGCCCATTAATCATGACCATGACCACGAAGGAATGCACACCCCTCCAAAGACAACATTTTTCGAGTGTGCTGGAGACTTGTTGATGCCGCCTTTACCACCCGCGGAATTCATTTCAGACCCTGCCTCACGACCCCGGACAATCTTCCACGACCGCATCTACCACCCAGAGGATATACCACCCCCTTTACCGGTAAAACGACGCATATTGGCATTTGGTTCGCCACAGGGCAAGCAATCAAACTCTCAGAATCCGCCTGCAGATAAAGAAAGCGGCCTCAAGGTCGAAGAAAAAATCGCGAGAGCCTATCACCGTGATCTGACTTGGCGTAAGGTTCTTGTCCGACTTGAGCCTGATGCCCACAATAACATTATTGTGCGGCGCATGTTCACCAATGCCTATGGCTGGCCTGTTGTGAAGCACTTGGTTGATACACACTTCAGCCACACTCTCACTGCGGAAACCGACGATTCTCTGAAGCAAAATATGGAGATGGCCAAGTCTCCAAATGTTGGTCCGACTAGCTCTGGTGACGAGGTTGAAGGGCAGTCCGATCCTGTCGATCCAAAGTCAATAAGAGATACAGACAATTTGCCAAATGTATCCGATCTCCATATATCGAAAGATGGATCTTCTGGCCCAAGTGATATCTCAAGGGCCGAAGATGAATCGCACATAGGCACCCGTGACAGAAATCTTGTATCGAGTCAGGATTCAGCACGATGGACTGATCGTGAAGTTGTCGAGGATGACAGCGAGTCCGGCTTCGAAGTGAAGACCAACGCTGGTTTCCGTCACATATAGCGCCATTGGTTTCATTGTACATACAGTTTCCTTAGACATATACCCTGTATTTATGAGAATGTTACATTTGAATTATGACCTCTACTGTCTGTCGTATTCAACTAGTCTGAGAGGATTATGGGCGGGCGATCAATACTTCAATTTACCTTGAACATGGCTCCAAAACTCCTCCACGATCTCCTTTTGTCCAGTTCCGCCTGGAGAACCTCGGACAGCAAGATACTTCCGCCCGTCAAGACGAGCTTCCCAAACCCCGGGGTTTCCATCCGCCATAATGCCGCCGGCTTCAGAGAGGATAACCCACCCGGCGCAGACATCCCAGGACCAACATCCACCCTCCCAATACAGATCCAGCGTGCCCTCAGCCACAGCACATAAATTCAACGCGGCCGAGCCTAAACTCCGCATTGCGCGCACCATAGCCCCACCATTTTCCTTGGACTTACCCAGCTTCTCATACGTCCGAATCTTAGTCTCCCAATTGTTCCCGCTGCGATCTGCGCCCCATTCAATGGCAACGAGAGCATTAGCTAGTCCAGACAGGGGCTCGACATGGTCGCCTTTCAGCGGCAAGCGAGTTTCACGATTGAGGAAAGCGCCCTGGCCTCGAATAGCGGAGTAAAGGGCCTTGGTGGAGGGGTTATACACCACCCCCACCGCGGGAATGCGTCCAACAGCGAACCCGAGCGAAACACAGGCAAATGGAAAACCATGCACGAAGTTCGTCGTTCCATCGATGGGGTCCACGACGAACGTAGGCGCATCGGTCAATGGGCGTGCCGGGTCATACGTTTCCTCGCCGTGGAATCTGAGAGAATACACACCATCAGAAGCATGCTAGCAGCCACGAAGAGAAAACACATACTCGTAATGTGGGTATTTCTCCCGCAGTGAGGTCGAGATCATGTTTTCGACGGCGCGGTCATATTCCGTGACGAGGTCAGCACCTAGAGATATCAGCTGTTTTCCTTTTTCGGTTGTTTGTATGGACACGGACTATTCAGTTTGGATCCTGTGCCGGTGATTTCTGGGAGTGCATTGTTGATGATGTCCCCGGCCTTGAAGGCCAATGAGACTAGGAAATCATGGATCTCGTTGAGGTTTGGGTTCTCCATTATGCAATTGAGATATTGAGATGGCATACATCATACGTAGCTCTTTCCTCTGCCACTTCTTGGCTTTCCCTTTCCGTTTTAGGTGTCTAGCCCTTGCCGCTTTTTGCTCACTGAGTAATTCCTAGCACGCCCCGGACCTGAGCGCCGAGTACGGAATATTATATAAGCACACCGCTTCTATGCCGACGTAGCTATGACAAGCCTGGCGTGTATGCGCTTATAGAAAGAAACAACCGAAGGGGATTTTTGCGAAATAGAATTGTGTCCTGACCATTTTGGCGAACTTCACCAGTATAAGGATGTCATGACTCATATATGCCTTCTCTTCATCCGACTCCCGATGCTTCTGTCTTTCCTTTCTCATGCTCTCCGCCTGTTCAGTCAATTTGGAAGCCTCATCAAAGTTCCCTTTTTGTCCTGCTAGGGTAGAGCTTGTTTGTTATATTCCTTCGAGGCCTGAAGGAACGCAGTTGGGGGCTGCCTTTCCGAGATCGAATCTTCAAAGGCACTCACGAAGGCAACAAGAAGGTCCTCACGATGAGCAGAACTAATCACCTGCAGCCCAATAGGTCGACTTTTGTAGTCGATAGATGAAATAGGTACCGCGGCAATTGGGTAGCCTACGATTATTAATTGGCGATTCATTCAACAGAGTTGGACGTAGTCAGGAAGAACATCGTACCTTTGGCCGAGGCATATTGAGTCAAAAAGCAATCTCCGGGGGCGACAATAATGTCGATTTCATTATTCTGTAAAGCTGCGTCGAGGTTTGAACCGACGGCCAAATAGTGCTCACGGAGCGTCTCAATCTGGTCGGGGGACAGCTTCGTGTTTAGTGCTTCGATCAACACATCCTGACTCGGATATTCTGTTACAATTAGAGACTATCTATGAGTTGCCTGGTGGGAGATTACCGGTGGGGAGTGCTTGTGCTGCGTGCTCTTGATTCCACTCCACAAGTTCCGCTAAGCTCTTCGCGGGAGATCCTGGCAGTTCGCTGAGGTAGTCGTTGAGAACATCAACCAATTCAATATATGCGTCTATTAGCACCAATAGCCCGTAAAGTCATAGAAAGACATACCCCAGATGGTGTAGATGGAATGTTTCCCGTTCAGCATGAATTCCGAAACAGGGGGGAGGTCGACGTTCTCATGAAAGACACTGGCCAAGCCATCACGAATCTTGGAGTACGTGTCCAGACCAACGCGGTTCTGCATAATTCTGTTAGATATAGAGCCCATAGATACTTGGCAAATTCTTTACCATTTGCTCTGTAGCTTCGGGCACAGGTTTGACTAAGAAGGTTGGGTAATTCCAAACTTCTGGATCAAGCGTACCAATCCTGAATATCTTTCCATGATCCTTAGTGGCGGAGGATGCATAACCGCCTTGTGGGATTGTTGTCTTGCCTGGCTCAACGAGAGCCGTCAAGAGGTCTGCTACATCTCGGACACTCCTACCCATAGGGCCAATGGTGTCAAAAGTCTTTGAGCACGGGACTGTACCATTCACTGAAACAATTCCAGTAGTCGGTCGAATTGAATACAGAGACGCTCTAACCGCTGGGGCGGTAATGGAGGCATCGGTATCGGCTCCAACTCCAATAGCAGCAAGACCAGCACTGATGGCGATGGAAACTCCCGAGGACGAGCCGCCGGGTACCTATGTGCTATTAATTAGCAATTTCCCCGATATAGGGACGAGTAATAGGAACATACAGTATGCCCTCCAATCGAATCGGTTGGATCGAATCCCCCAGGAATATAGGGAGACTGTCCTTGGCCATCAACTGCAGACCAACCGCATGGGAGACCGTTTTCTCTTATAAAAATGTTAGACAAAAAGGAACATGAAGAGAGCCCGTCGCTGGAATTTTACTTTCGATAGCTTAGCTCCTAAATAAGCATTAGCTATGCCGTTCTGGATTTTCCGTTGCATCTACCTGGGTACCCACTGATATAGTTGTCTTTCCCAAAATAACCGCTCCAGCAGCAAGCAGCTAATAATAATTATTAGTCTTGAACCCTCAAAATAGCTAGTGATGGGGCGAATAGATTACCTTGTCGATAACCTCCGCATTTTTTGTGGGCTTTGTATTCAGGAGCGCCACTGCTCCTGCGGATTTCCTCATCTCCAGGCTTGGCCCAGTGTCGAAGGTATCCTGATTGTGTCAGCCAAATGAGAGGACTAAGAGCTGACCAAAAATACAAGCCATACCTTGATCAAAACAGGAATTCCATGAAGCGGGCCTAAGAATTCACCGGATTCCCTCTTGGCGTCCAATTCCTGAGCCCATCCAGCGCACCTGGCGCATATACAGAGACCGCACGAAGGTACCCATTGTGCTCCTCAATCTGTCGAACATACTCCTCAACCAGATCGGTACTCTTCAGGGTTCCGGCAATCATCATCTGCTGCAAATCATAGGCCGTCGCGGTGAGAGTATTGAATAGAGGTGGGCCCCGCCGATGGAGAACCACGCCTCGTGGGGGGGGGGGGGGGGGGGTGTTTTTCGGCTTCCAAGCGTTGGGATATCCTGGGTTGGGCATCGCTTTGAAGATGAATGTTCTATGTTTGATATATTATATGGGACTAGAGAGAAGATGATCAGGAAAATGGCTCGACAACTTGGTAATCTGGAGGTCGAGAATACCATCTTTGTTGGTGGCACCTGCCAAGCAAGCGTTGCATTCGTACAAGGACTGAAAGTTAAGACAGATAGGTAACTAGTGGTAATTTTCGTCCTGCACCTCTAGTCTTACTCTAGTTTCCTGAATACGGGCCTGACGTGTTCCGTCCACTAAATCGAACGAACCACACAGTGGGAGGCAGCCTGTTGATATAGCTGACCATTTGCAAATGTTGCAAACCTCAAACCTACTCGCTTAACGAGCAAACGATCTATGAAGCAAAGAAATAACAAATGCAAATAGGAAGCGAGCAAGCAGACGATCAAGCAGGCAAACAGATAGTCACCAATCGGTAGAGATTAGTAGTAGACAATCATGCAGATGGTAACAATTAGGTCACTAGTTCGAGGTAATAACTATCTCCTGCTAGTATTTACTAGTACCCGGTTACGAAGGGGCATAGCAATATAGCACATTATACTCGGAGTATCGGAATATATATCAATCCATGAAAGCCCGGGGGCATATAACTCCTCCTTCCCTCTCTAGTGCAACGCAGTCATTCATACATTCAATAAAATCCCTAATACGCCACCCTTCTACCTTACCCACGATAACAACACCAGCCGCCCAAGCCCAACAAATCACCGGGGACCGAGATGAGTTACAAGTGCTGCAGCACCGGTCCCGCCGCAGCACCAGGCTCTTGGTTCGGTACCGCAGTGCTGCGGCGGGAGTGCTGCAGCACTGTAAACAGTACCAACACGGCTAAGCTCGTGACCTGCATAAATTGCTTTGACTTCTGTTAAGAAACAAGGCCGGGGGTGTTATTTCGATTAGTCATTTTACCGCTGAAACATGTGACTTTGACGAGTTATGCGCTTGCTTATTAATTATGTCTGACCAGATTGTCAAATTCGGACCTTTGTTATTTAGTTATACGTGAAATGTATTAGTTTCTATTGATTAATGTTGTAGTATTGAATCAACCTCTAGTGCATGATACGGAGGTCCGTAGCCTATCACTAGAAGTAGGTGGATAGAGTCTTTTGAGTTCTGTTAACCCGGGATTATTCTGTTACCTCGCATTTATGACACGAACTTTAGGAAGGTCCAAGGGGAAACTGGATAAATACGCGATTAAACCCGGGGTATACCGCTGGTGGGAAGGGTGTGCCGTATAGTGCATGCTAGCGCTGGTTCAAATACGATCAGTTCTCTCTCTCCGACATCACATCAAATTAGCAATACCCGACAGAAAATATGTCTTCCCGGAACATCAAGTCAATGTTATAAGACATGGTGAATGAAAATCAGACCACCCTAAGCCCAAGGCATACACAACGTCATCACTCTCATCACCATCATGAAGATACCGAAGCAGGCCCCCAAAGACAGGCCCTCAGGCGAACGGCCCAGGAGACCATCGGCGTTCTCCCAGTTCTCCTGAACCGCCTCAACTCCACCAATCAGGCCCATAAATCTAAGAAATTATCGTCAAATTCGGTCAGACGCTTACACCCCAGCGACTGCCCCCGCTTCCCATCACCCGCGACGATCAAAGTCATCAACGACGATACCCTCAACGTGGCCGTCAGACTATTTGAGTCCGCACGGACACATCGTCTCGACCCAAGCCTGAACCCCCGCCCAATAATCATTAACTTCGCCAGCTATCGAAAACCAGGCGGGGGCTGGCTAAATGGCGCGATGGCACAAGAGGAATCCATCTGCTACCGCAGCTCACTGGCGCTCAGCCTCCAAAGCAGGGATTACCCGCTCGCTCTGGACGAGTCCATCTACAGCCCCTACGTCCTGGTCATGCGGAGTGACCTAGCCTCCGGACACAATTTGTTAGAGTCTCCCACTACTCCGCCAGAGGATCTTCCCGTTGTCAGCGGGATTACGATCGCCGCTCTCTATCGACCTGTACTCCGGACAGTGGTGCTGAAGGATTCTCAGAAAGAGCGACGTGGCCATAGCCCACGCGCACACCACAGCTCACGTCACTGCTCGACTTCACCCTCGCCCTCCCGTCGGCGTACCCAAGAAGTCTTCGCGCGCGACAGACACCGCAGGCTTACCAAATCCAAGATGAGGCAAGCACTGCGTATTGCGGCATTCAATGGGCATGGGATGCTAGTCCTCGGGGCTTTGGGCTGTGGGGTCTATGCGAATCCCCCTGCTGAGGTTGCGCACTGCTGGCTCGAGGTTCTGAGGGAGACTGAGTTTTGTGGAAACTGGTGGCGTGAGGTGTGCTTTGCTGTCTATGACCCGAAGAACGAAGGCAACTTTGCGACCTTTGAACGGGTGTTATCTGGGAAGAAGGTTTAGTTTCGCTTTTTCATTTTTTATTGTTATGCTTTTTTGTATTGTCCAGCTCCGTACAGAGTAATATATTCATTTATACTTTACATCACGGAAATATGCCGCTCATCAGGTTGTTGCAAAGGTTGCCTTTGAAGGCAACCTGCGCAATGATCTGGCAACATCTTGTTCAATACACACCCGGGCAAAGCGTCAATGTTACCGCGGGTGGTGATTGGTGGATTATATTGTAGGCTAAGGATGAGGCTCTGTGGCTGTACTCCACCGGGTGACGGTAGGTACATATTCACCCGTCCGGCAGGGAGACGTTATTTTTGCATTAATACATATGCAGCAGCATGTAATTCATACCGGATCTTAGGCTGCGGATGCGAGTTCTTGGTCGGGTGCCGCCGCTTTATGAGGGTCCTCAGGGTCGTGTATGTGTCCCATGTTGGATGTTGTGTCGGAGTTAACGGACTTAGCCGGCCAGTGCGTTGCGGGCCTACGTTGGTCCCAGTGCGACCCGACCGAGAAATAGAAATTCACTCTCTGTCGTCAGTTTTCTGTCATCGATCCTGCTCCTGCCTTATCGACACTCAAAAGACACGACTTCCTACTTTGAACAAGAGGGAACGACTACGCTTATCGCGACGTAAGGTATGCAGCCTTTCACCTACTAATATTTTGACACAATCACTGATACCAGCTCATCATGGCTAGTTTTAAATGGCCCTACTCTGAATGCAGTCAAGCAGTAGCTGCTGTTGAAACCAAACGTGTTCGCCTTCAGGCTGAAGAGGAAGAAGAGTAAGTACATATCAAACAAGCATCTATAATCTTACAGAGAACTTATGAATCTTGTTCTTTAGGTCAACTATGGGTACCGAAGAAAGAACACTGCACCCGAGAGAACTTCTCCGCCAGCTTTCCGAGTCAATGAATGGCAGACATGATGAACTTTCCGTGACCCTCCCCGCGCACAGTACCTGGAGGTCCGCTATCCAAGCTGTGGTAGCAGCCCTAGACGACGTCGACGAATCCTTTCTTGTAATGCCGCGCAGATGCGGTAACCGCCGAGCTATTCGTGAGATGGCACTGCAGGCAGGCACGGAGGTGAACTTCAAAGGACTCCCAATCCGAACAAATGTTGACCTGGGGACGGTGTCACCCCGACCACCTCGTAGCGAATCGGTTCGCGAGCGTCTGCGTGAGATTGCCAAGGATGCTGCCAAAATGGAATGGCGAGATCCTTATGTATCGCTCCATGCCGGATTAGGAGACTCATGCCTCCCTTTGATTCGCGCAAATATCACCTTGAAAGGGATCGATGGCAACGAGCAAGATCTGACATGCGAGCTTGAAGAGGTAGATATGGTGTTCGACACAGGTGCACATCGGACCCTTATCACTGAAGAGCTACTCTCCCCCGCCTTTCGAGAATACTTGCGGGACCCTATCCACGACTCATATCGCTCGCCTGACGGTATAGCTGTGCAGGTTGATTCTAGTCTGGCTTTGTCAAATTCCTGTACTAGCATTGACGCCGTTGCGCTTATTCTGCCTAAGGCCAAGATGCCCAACCAGCTAGTTGGGATTTTATTCGGCCAAATTTCCTGTATTGATCGACTTAGCCTTCGGGCTATTCCTCGGCATGTACTTCTCGCCAGGGGAGAGGAGGTCTCAGATCAACTCTGGGGAGACATTTTAGTCGAGGAATATGCCAATCTGGACGGCGAGCTTGTCTCAATTTGAAATTCTTTAGTTGGATGGTGTTTGCTTGAACCGATGTATCGGTGCGAAGAGTGGCTTATTTTTACTCCTGTTTATTACTTGCTGCTACCACCTCGCTTGGCTACATTTTTTCTGTCTCAGGAGCTGGATTTTTCATGTTTTCGTTTTGGTATGTCCTGTATGAACTTTAGCCGTTCTTTATTCCGCACGAGTCTTCTCAGTGTTGGTGTTCTTGTGGAATCACTCGGTCTCTAAAAATGGACTACTGCATTCTTCGGTTAACAAGGCATGATTTATAGTTGAACGCGCCTCATAGCTCGATCGAACCAAGACCTTCCACCTTGAAGAGATAATCCTCTTCAAACTTCCCCATCTCGCCCCCTCCTTAGAACAATTGTGTAAAAACACGACGGTTACCGCTTCTTCGCGGTATTACAAGAAAGGGTTCATCGACATCGTTTAGGGCTGCTACCACAGTTTGGATAGCAGACCTCCAGGTACTGTGCGCGGGGAGGGTCACGGAAAGTTCATTATGTTTGCTATTCATAGGGTCCCGCAGGTATTCTCGAAAGGTGGGGTAGAGGAGCTCTTTGGCGATAATAGTCCGATATGCACCTATGTCGAATACCATATTCACCCCTTTCAGCTCGTAGGTCAGGTCTTGCTCGTTGCCATCGAGCCCTTAGAAGTGATATTGGCGCGAATAAAAGGGAGGCATGAGTCTTCTAATCCAGGACGGAACGATCGATACGTAAGGATCTCGCCATTCCATTCTAGCAGCCTCCTTGCCCATCTCATGGAGACGCTCGCGAACCGCTTCGCTAGGAGGGAGGCGGGATGCCACGGTCTACCGTTGACAGGTCAACAATTGTTCCAATTGGGAGTCCTAGGAAGTTCAGCTCTGCGCCTGCCTGCAGTACGATCGATTTAGATATTATAGGAATTTTAGAGTGGGGGATATATCGAGTTTATAAACTATGCTTTCATTTTGAGGCGTGTGAAGTGATTGGTTTGTCTTTGTCCATAAACCTGTATCTTCCCTAAATGCAACTCGCTTAAGCACATGGGATTGCTAGCACGGTCTGATATGTGGGTCCTTCTCGGGGGAAGTACGTACTCGACTACGTACGCCTCCTGTTTGAAGCCAAGTGAATGCACTAGCCTTAAAAACAGCCAATCATTACATGGTGTACCTGGCGGAGCTACTTTCTAGTAAGCCCAGTAGCCCATTATGTCCTTCGTGACCACCACGAATGTCCACAGACATCTTTCTACATCGTCAAAGTACGAGATAGTTAAGGGTCTCGGTTATTCGATCCAATAGGCCTCCTGTCTAGGTATTTGGGGCCATTCAAATCATATGTTGTACCTGCCCAAAGAGCAAGGGCATGAAAAATGCTCACGAAGCGATTATAAAAGGGCGTATGCCTCCTCAGATTGATTTTCTTGTTTAAATTGCTCAATTACTGTGCCGCTTTTCTCTCAATATTGATTATAGCTAGTTGCCCTGCTCGCCGATCTCTGCGCCGTCGTCATCCGAGTAGCATCGGGGAAATGGTCAACACAGGCAAAATCGACTCTGCTTTGTTCGCATTTGGCCTTGTTGGCCGATGTCTTGCGGACTACAACGGAACAACTCAGACAGTGACCTATGTTCCCATCGTCGAAGAATAGTCTGGCGAGGGCTCCAATATGACAGTGACTTTTGATCTGGTCAGCGCCGACTATCTGTGGTTATACAGTAACATTGGCATTTCGGCCAAACGCACCGCCATCGAGACGACTGTGGAAGCGGCGTCCGTCATTACCGCTGCAACCTCCATCATCATCGCAGCCAACTCAGCCCTCGGCATCTACGAGTGCATTGCGGATGTAATCGAGAGCAAGCCAAATTCGAATTCCTGCTCGATGCACATTCTCTCATGGAGGCACTTGGACTGGCCACTTGCGTCTTACTGCCGAGCCGATTAAGTACCCAGTGACTTCGGTGACTTGTTAGAGGGGTGATTTGTTAGGAGAATTGGAAACAGGATTCATAATTGACAGGATGAAGTTGCCTGAGATGAGGACGAGACGTTTCAATTACATTCATATATTGTCCTCAGTACTTCAATGCCAAGTTCCGATTTCCAAATCTTCGATAATCTTTACGCGAATATGATAGTAAGGGGGAGTTATGACTGTTTGGACTGCATTGCATGATCTTCTAGTTGATCTCATCACCGATATCTCCCATATTCTTTTGGGGCTAAGAACAACTCTTTCTCAAGATTCTTTGAACTGGCTCATCATAGTCGCTAGATTCAAGCCCTACCACCTGCACACAGTCAAATTCGTGCCGAACGATAAGCTGCGAACGATAAGCTGAGGAGTCTATAAGTTCCTGCTAAGTCGTACTAAACCGCATCCACCCGAGTGGGGTGGGTAAACCACGGGCCGGGGGCGTGACTTCCGGTTACTAGCGGGGCACGAGTCGCCTGTTGTCTACATAAGTCGGCCCAACCCCGAACCACATCTACAAAATCCCCATTCAATTTCCTCTTTACCAACCATGCCTAGACTCTCTCATTTGGCTGTATTTTTTGGCGCTCCCTTTGCCGCTTGGGGATGTTTTCTAGCTTCCGTCCGTGCAGCAGGATTCATTGGGTCGGACGGTCCCGTATTTGCATTGATGATCGTTTTTTTGATGATCGCTTTATTCGGCTTTTTCCTCATTTGGGCTTTGTCGTGTGTCCCCGTATTCATGTGGTTGATTGAGGCACTGGGCCTTCTTCCGCTGGAAATGCAAAACAAGACATTACCGCTCAAATTCGGAGACGAGAAATTCATGTCGGCCGATCCAGGTCTCGAGCTGAACAACAAAACGCGCTTGACAGCAGAGATAGAGATTTTGGATACGATGGCGCGCACTAGACGGCAAAGACTGGCTGAGCTTTAAGTTCCAACTTTTTCCGCTCCTCTCGATGTACCACTCCGCACGAATTTTCGAACTTTTCGCAGTTTGCGATTTCCGGCGAATCGAGTCGAATTCGAATCTTGATTGCGGGCTTCGAATTTATGTCGCTTCGATTCGCCAAAAATCGCGAACTTTGAACTAGTTCGCGAATTGTTTCTAGACACGGGTTGTGAAACGAGCTTTCGAGATGCCTCTACAAGGATGCCTCGGTAAACTCGGTCTGAAATATAACCCTCATGTATCCTCAAGGAAGCCATAGCTATATAACCAGTCATACTCCAATACACTGCGTCTTTTAGCCTTACTAGCGTCCCAAGGGTCTTGCCTTTCATAGGAAACGTCGAACTCCCAGTACATCACTACCACCACTATTCTGATAGATTGGGTACTTTAGGGGGTATCATATTCAATTCAATATGATTATCACTGCAAGGCCAAGAAAATAACAAATGTAGGAGTATAAAGGAAGCTAAAAAGTGGATTTATGGCGGGGGCGGGTTATGCAGCTGAACTCTCAACTCTCAGCTTCATGCAAGTCTGCCCAGCACTTGATAGACTCAAAAAGTTACAGCCTCTCTCAAGCTTCGTGTACTACAGGCTCAACCAGACCTGTATGTTCGAGTGCACCTATTGGCTCAACTGTACCCGCCGGCTTGACTAGATAAATTGTAGTACAAGCATGATCGAGGATTCGGGAAATTCTTATTGCTTGGCTGCTTATAAAGTCAAAGCGTCGTGATTCTTAGGATACCTGTATGATAGTGTCACTCTACAATACAGCCAACACTGCCCACCACCAACATAGATATATGGATGTGATAAGTTCGAATAATGCGCATGCAAGCCACCTTTATCGTGGTTAGGATCAGAAAGAGTATCTTAGATCTTGGCATGCAAGTAACGGGTAAAACGGGCTCTCGGCCCGCTCTGGATACGAGCACCATGTTGTGCTATCCCCATGCAGCTGGCCCGTTTCGGAATTACGCTGAGTCCTTCTCTCTCTCGCGCGCGTGCGCGGTGACTTACAGGGATTTAATCCTTGTAATCTAGCCCGGAGTCACTTTCCAAGTCACCCTTTGGGCACTATGAGGAGTAGCTGAATCATCCCGGGGGTCTTCATCATGCTTTTATGGTGCCATGCATTTCAACTCCGCTTGTATTGGCTGTAGTCTTGCATGACTCGAATCAAAAATTCGACTTTACATGTAGCTCTGTCCTCATGTCCCTGTATGCCTATCTCAAAGAAAAGAGCAAAAAGGCCTTTTATTTCGTATGCAGGTACTTTGTTATCATTTCGTATATTTCGTAAATTACGCATGCGCCTCCCTCGTACTCTAGAGTAGACTATCAATCTGAAGTGACTTTCGAGCTGGCATCTTCCTTTGCAGTACGGAGTAGAAGCAGGTGGTTTAAAATACTGTATCCCACCAAAACGATGTATATTAGAAGCGCTTAAGGCGGGGCAAGATTGGAATCTATAAGAGCTGGCTCTATCTACAATATGATTTTTGCGTAGCATAATCTTTTCTCAACAGCCTAGGACTCCTTGATCATTCTTCAAATATGTTTAAGACATCGACTTCCTTGAAAAATATGCGAATATTGTTCAGGGTCAGCCGCCCACTTTGGTGGCCGGTTGCCCCTTGTCTCTATTTTTCAGGTATTCTTCATGCCGGCGATTTTCCGTCGACGATACCGGCAATACTGTTTGCTCTTGCTCTATCTTTCCCTTTATGCTTAGGTAGGAGTGATCTGAAACTAAAGTCGGAATGATCCTTGATCTTAACTAACTCGGGCAAGTGACCTTCGGTGTCAACGACGCTTACGACTATGATTCCGATATGCAGAATCCTCGAAAGACAAAATATTTTTCAGAGGGTGCAGTATTATCTCGAGAAAATCATGGATTTGTGCTACTTGTTTCCAAAGCTACTACAGCTTTCATTGTCTTGTGCTCCATACCTACATCAGTTCAAAGTCCTCGGATGTTACTTTGCACTTTGTCATTTCTTTTTCTCACCTGGGCATACTCCTCACCACCGATACGGCTTAAGGAGATACCAATCCTGGACTCAATGTCTAATGGAGCAATTCTCTGGCTTTTCTGGGCAAGTGGGTATTGTTCTGGGAGCGACGAAGCTCTGCAACACCAGACTGATCACACCAACGGCGCCTTTGTCTTTTTTTACGCCTGTGCCTGCCATGGCTTGGCTTCGATTGTTGATACACAGCCAGACAGCTCTGCGGGTCATCGGACAATATCAACATCTTTCGGAGTCAGATTTGCAGCATTATTCTCAGCGATATGTTTGTATGTTGGTTTCCCCTTTCCACTATAATAACATCTAAAAGCTAACTTTATTACCGGGTAGCCTGTTGGCCGATTATCAAACTCAATCATGGTCCGATGATATTGGCATGGCAAGCTTGGCTGGTGTAGTCTCTTCTCTATGTATCTGCCTTCTACCGTCCAAGGGCAATCGAATCGGGCGGTTGGCTTTCGCAGGAACGTACTGTGGTACAATAGTATGGATATTCGAAAGAATCCTGGAAATTCGAGAGGGAAAAGAGATGCAGTTTCCTAGATTTTAGTGGCTAGCAAGGGAAAGCAGGAAATTATGATATTTTTACAGCAGTTAGAAGCCTTAGGCGGAAGAGCAGCATAAACTCATGCGCTACCTTCACTGATAATTGAACTCTCAACATGATGGAGATGGTGACTTCTTCCTGAGGCTCTGCCTTTCCGTTTTAGTGCTAAGGCCTTGCCGCTTTTTGCCAAGTGCTTAGTCAGGTATGGCTAGTTTAAAGATCGCGGGGCAATTCCGACCTCTTCTGAAGGAATATAGTAACGTCGACATGTATATTTGGAAATATGGACTGATTAGGTGTATTGCCTATTATTGAATAATCACTTCTACACTCTTCAGATTGTCTATAACTATGTATGAATATGTGTTGTATTACAAATAGCAGCCCTGAAGGGCATCTCCGCGTTTCCAGTGACGTCGAGAAACCCCCACTTGCGCGGGAAAAAAAAATCTTTTGAGACTCTACAGTTTTGGAATTGACGATACCACATACTCAGCCCCTCTTTCTGGCTCATACATTACACTCCAATATGCCGACTGAACTCGAAGATGTGCGTGCCTGCGGCCTACGATACTGATTAGCTCACTCACAACTCTTTATAGCTGGTGGAATTCCTGCACCATGGCAATACCCCAATCAGACAAATCTGTATGGCAACTCCTCTCAGAGTCACAGCGCGAAAATGTGATCTAACAGCTCATAGCTTGCGAAACCCTCGTCGGCTTCTCCACCACCCAGCCTGAGGTGTTCAAGCGCAATCAACTCCTACCCGTTCGCGATTTGATGCTTCTGGTCCGCGATTACGACGTGCGTTATCTGCGATCATGGGGGTGACTTTCGACTGATATCTTTGTATAGCCCATTGCGAAGAATGCATTGACTATCCTGGTCAATTTATCTGGCGATGAAGAAGTGTTGAAACTCCTCGCCGGGGATGACAAGTTTATTGAGGAATTGCTCACGAAATTGACAGTGAGTTTTCTCGGCTGTCATAACTGGACGGTAACAGGGCTAATGTGTCTGATCCCAGAATCCTAAAGAGCCCAACGCCGATGAAGTGGCTATGCTTTTAGCCAACCTCGTCAAATCCGAAAACCTAAACAAACTATTCGCCCTCAAGCGCAAAGTTCCCGAATCCGTATCTACCTCCGAGAACGCGATCGATCAGGTGATGGACTGCTTCGTGAAGGGTGCCGAGGGTGGTCTCAACAAGCACGCCAATTATGATTACCTGTCGTACGTGTTTGCCGACCTCTCCCAGACCGAACAGGGCAGGGCCTATTTCACTCAACGCCAGGAGTACGATGGGGTGGTCCCCATCACCAAGCTGACGGTCTTCACGGAGCACCGAAGCGATATCCGGAGGAAGGGTGTTGCATCCACAATCAAGAATGTGGCTTTTGAGATCGACTCGCACCCAATGCTTTTTGACGAGGACGGTGCCAACCTTTTGCCTTACCTATTGCTCCCGCTTGCAGGTCCAGAGGAGCTGGCGGAAGATGATACGGCGGACATGCTGCCAGATCTCCAGCTGTTGCCGCCCGATAAGCAACGAGACAGCGACCCTACCATTATCACAACCCATCTCGAAACCCTGCTTCTCCTAACCACAACTCGGGACGGCCGGGAGAAGATGCGAGCAGTCAAGGTTTACCCATTGATCCGCGAAACTCATATGCACGTTGAAGATGAAAATGTGACAGAGGCATGCGACCGGTTAGTGCAAGTCCTGATGCGAGACGAGGCAAAGGAAGGTGAGGGTGAAGGCGAAAAGGAGCCCGAACAACCTCAAATCGAGGCGCCTCAAAACGAGGATGAAAAGGTTGTAGAACTGTTTTAATGATTAGATACCAAAATGAATTGTACATATGAAAGCGAACACTATAAAACACTTTATATTGTTGTTAGTGCCTTGTATGTAACCTTACCTGCGTCCGAAAGGGAAGATAAATCTGCCGATGTCGGTGGGGCAAGCCCATGAGCTCGGGGGGACAACGGGTCGTTTTTCACCACACTACGCTCTAGTCCTCCACTAGCTCTGTGATCTTCTCTTCTGATTCCTCAATGCCCTGATCTATTTTGAGCTAATGCACGGCCTAACCTGAAATACTTATAGTATTTCATCATAACCCCACCACCACGTCGGCCAATATTCCACTGCGGACGCGGAAGCTGTCTTGCCCCTCGACCTCGAGGCGCGAGTGGCTTCCCGCTGAACCGGATCAAACTAATTCTAATTTTGATGATAGCGCGAGCGACAATGGAAACTACCCCGAAATCGACAATCCACTACCCGGCGTGAACCCCGACACAGGGATTGTTCAGCGCTTTCGGGCCTTCATGGCGGGCGCCCCTCTTCTTCGTTCATCGCCCGTCCTGGGCGCTCCCTCTTACGGAGCATTGCGAGACCCGGACGGCTCAGAAGAGGACACACCCGTTTCGCGTGGGCCGAAAGTTCGTGGGGGGTTACACCGCGCGAGCTTCGGAGATGGCATCGGAAGTTCTTCCAACGTACCAGGGTCTACTCCGAGACGATCACATTCCTTTGTCAGACAACGAAACAGCTTGTATGCAGAGAGAAATCGTCGGCCTTCATCCGCCGCGTCCGATGTGGGAATGGGTCCTGATTCGAAATACTCGTTCGCTACTGGATTGGCTGTACCGGGTAACCCGGTGATGCAGGAGACTCCGGCGTCTTCACCATATATGACAAGTGATGATGAAAATGTCCTCGACATTGATGATGATGATTCAAAATCCTCGGATGAGGATCCTCCAGACAATTCGCCGTATGCCCAAGTTCGGGCTTCCGTTCCGGCGACGGATAATTTCTCTCTTTCTATTAACAGTAGGCTTTCTTTCTGTGCTTTTTTCTCCTTATATCTAATGATCTCTAGCACCTCGAATGTGGATTCTTTCGTTGTTATTCTCTTTGACGGGGTCTGCCGCCAACCTTTTCTTTTCCTTGCGCTATCCCAGTGTTGCCATTACACCAATCATTGCTCTTGTTCTAGTCCATCCACTGGGCAAGTTTTGGGATTTAATTTTCAGACAAACAGGTGATCCGCTCGAGTTTTTTGAAAACGGAACCCTTCACCACCGGGAATCACTCTCCGGTGACATCGAGGCCCCTCCTGTTCCATTGGCGTCCCGAGTCAGACTTTGGTTTGCCCAGGGCCGTTGGAACGAAAAGGAGCATGCTTGCGTTTACATTAGCAGCAATGTTTCCTTTGGGTTTGCTTTCGCGACTGATGTTAGTAGACCAACGAAATACTCATGACGAAGCTGACCCCAGACAGGTTATTGTCGAGCAACATAAATTTTACAACCAGGATGTTCCAATTATATATCAGCTGCTGCTCATCATATCCACTCAGGTTTTGGGATATGCATTCGCGGGTCTAACTCGACGATTCCTCGTGCGGCCATCGGCTATGATCTGGCCGGGGACCCTGATGTCCACTGCAATGTTCTCTACAATGCACAAGTCTGTCAACAAAAAGGCAAATGGGTGGAGTATCTCCCGATATAAGTTCTTCGTTGTTGTGTGGGCAGGGGCTTTTCTCTGGTATTTTGTCCCGGGACTGTTGATGCCTGCTCTAAGTTATTTTAATGTGATCACTTGGTTGGCACCCAAAAATGTGGTGATTTCGAACTTGGTAAGATATTCAGGTCCTCTTAAGTTGCTTTGGCTAACTCTTCTAGTTTGGTGTTGCCTCTGGTCTGGGAATGTTCCCCTTGACCTTCGATTGGGCTCAGATTGCCTATATTGGCTCGCCATTACTCACGCCTTGGTGGGCCGCGGCTAACATCGTCACGGGACTGGTGGTTGTCATCTGGATAGCCGCCCCAATACTTTGTAAGGTTTCCCCTTCTTATCTCATTTGACTCTGCTGATCAACCGAAGATTATAAAAATGTGCTTTTCTCTGCATATATGCCCATAGTTTCAACAGCAGTGTTCGACAATTCCGGGCGACCATACAACGTGAGCCGAATATTGACGACGGATTTTTTGTTTGATGAAAAGGCCTATCAAGATTACTCCCCGGTTTATCTCCCAATCACCTACGTGCTGTCTTACGGTGTTCAGTTTGCTGCTTTGACGTCCCTTGTTTCTCACACCATTTGCTGGTATGGGAAGGACATTTGGCAACAGACTAGGAAGGCCTTTGAGGAAAAACGGCAAGTGCCAGGCATGGAGACGTACCAACCCCTTCGTGGAAGCAATGATGCTCCCCGACAGAGTTATGAAATCCCAAGGACTAGCTCACGTGAACCGAGCCAGGACATTCCATTGGGAGGGGAAGATGTTCATTGTCGCTTGATGAGGCGCTATAAGGACGCTCCACTCATGTGGTATCTTGTTGTGTTCGTTTCTATGCTTGTCATTGCCATCTTCACGGTGGAATAGTACGTTTTCAACCCCCCTTGACCTTTGATTGCAACTGACCCTAGCACAAAAGTTATCCAACACATCTACCTTGGTATGGCCTACTCCTGGCTCTTGGTATCACTTCTGTGTTTTTCATCCCAGTGGGCATCATCATGGCTGTCACCAATCAGCATAGCAGCCTCTATCTGATCTGCCAACTCCTTTGCGGTATTGTATTCCCGGGAAGGCCTGTAGCGAACATGATTTTCGTGACCTACTCATATATCAGCTCTGCACAAGGGATCAAATTTTCCTCGGACCTCAAGCTCGGACATTACATGAAGATCCCACCACGAATTCTGTTTGGCGTCCAGATGATGGCGACTTTAGTCTCGAGTCTGACTCAAATTGGTGTGCTGAACTGGATGTTCACTTTTGTCCCGGGACTTTGCACCCCGGAGGCTATCAACGGTTTCAACTGCCCCATTGCCCGAGTCCATTTCAATGGCAGCATTCTATGGGGAGTCGTTGGCCCGCAGCGCTTCTTTGGCCCAGGAGGGCTATACCGTCCGCTTGTCTGGGCCTTTTTGATAGGAGCCATCGCGCCTCTCGGAGCGTGGCTTCTGGGGAGACACAGCAAGAAGAGTTTCTGGCGTATGGTCAACTTCCCTATCTTGTTTGGCAGTCTGAGCTGGATCCCACCTGCAACCGGGCTCAACTTTTCCATCTGGGCCCTTGTATGTTTTGTGTTCAATTATGTGATCCGGCGAAGAAGGACCGCATGGTGGGAAAAATATGCAATGACCTTGTCGGCCGCATTGGATTCCGGTTTGGCATTTTCAGTGGTCGTTGTCTTCTTCGCCTTCATTTACCCGGGATGGGTCGATGGTTTCAAATGGTGGGGGACGGAGATTTATAAACAGGTACGTTCTTGATCTTCTGGTTTTTTGGTCTCTACTAACTGTGTCAAGGGCTGTGATTGGATTGCTTGTCCATACAAACCACTGGAACCGGGTCAACGATTCGGTCAGTAGATTTTGCATCAATTGAAAAGAAATGGAAATAGAAATTCATAATAGAAATCCAGTGAATTATACCAAATCTCAAATACACTACATCTAGTACCCAATCACAGTTACTAGAAAAGCAAGAATAGTCGGCTGCATATGCGGCCTCTGTTCTTAATGACTTCGAAGTTAGGACTTGGATAATATATAGCTGGCTCAAGAGGATCTTAGAAATGCTTCAGTTCAGATCGACTACGATGTTTTGACTCTTAGTCTCTTTGCTTCCCGTTGGATTCTATTCTCAATCGCAGTTAGACTGTAGTTATAGAGGTGATCTTTAAGGTAAAAGAGCCTCCGAATGCACGGACCATACGACCCGGAGATCTCCCAGAGTCACGTGGCCAACCTGGCGGGACGGGTAAACATTTGCTCCGAGGTCTACCGTCATACCTCCTGGTCGGTGCTCTCAAAGTGGCTTTACCGTCTCTCATTCTTTTTTAAGTCGGCCGCCCCTTGTCGCAACACAAAACAGGTAAAAGGCTACCTCTGTTCTGTCCTTCCACCCTAGTGCGATACTTCGCGTCACCTTCTACCACTCGTACGACTTCGTCCTGTACGTCGGCAACATGTCGACTCCGACGAATCCATCGAATGCTCGCACTCCAACCGGCCCAAATGGTGCACCGCTGATGAGGATGCGTCGTCCAAAAGCAGCGGATCCTTTGGTTCGACCGAAGAGAAGGCCTGTTCCCAGACCAGCTGGCGCCACTCCTGCCGGCAATGGAGTAGCCACCAAGACTCTTCCCTCACGGCCGCAAAGGCCCCACAACCAGGCGATCCTCCCGTCCGAGCGACCTATGCTTGAGCTTTCGAACAACCACATGGCAGCGAATGGATTCAGCGGTCCTTTGCTCAGTGATAAATACGTTGATTACCCGGTGGTGACGACAAAGCGAGCTCTAATGGAGGGACTGAAGCACCATATCGCGCGATTTGCCTCGAAGAAAAGCGTCGACCCACGTGATGAATCACAATTTACGCGACCAGTTCGACTTCATCGCCGCGACCCACGTTCACGAACTCATGATCCAAATTCGGGGAGATCCGAGATCGATGGCCAGCCAATGGATGAAGCGGAACGCGAAGCCTTCGATGCTCGCAAGGCAGCACGTGAAAAAGAGCGCGCTGAGAACCTTTCCCAAATCGCCCCCGCCCTCGGCTCAACCTCGAAACGACCAAATGCCCCAAAGCAGAAGACGCAGCAGGTTTTCAAGTCGGATATGACCCCCGAAGAGATTGCAAGAGCACGGATCAAGTACGAAGAAGCCTTGCCATGGCATCTGGAGGATTTCGATAACCAGCACACCTGGGTTGGAAACTACGAAGCAGCCCTGTCCGAAACACATGCGATCTTTGTCCTCGACAACGGAAAGATGAGAATGATTCCGGCCGAAAAGTGGTACAAGTTTAACGCTAAGAGTAATTTCAAGGCTTTGACGATTGACGAAGCAGAGAAATTCATGGCTAAGAGAGTGAAAGACCCCCGATGGTTCATGGAGAAGCAGCAGCAGCTGGAGCAAGAAAAAGAACTGGAAACATACGCCAAGCAGCGCAAAGTCTATGCCGGAAAACAGGGCACAACCGCCGGAAAGGGTGCGGGATTAGAAGCTGGTGAAATGGATTTCGAAGAGGATCGATTTGCCGACGACGAAGAGCATGATGACCTCTTCAATGAGGATGAAGATGCCAAGGATGCGGAAAAGAGGATCAAAGAGGACCAGCTCAAGGCGAATGTGTTCAATCTCAAGGACGAGAAGGAATATGACGCTGAAGAAATGCGAGAGAAACGTGAACGAGAGGCCCGGCGTGTGTTGGGCAAGGGTGTGCGCAAGGCTCTGAAGAGGAGAGAACGGAACTTTGATTACAGCAGCGGTTCTGATGTCAATCCGTACACAGATGAGGAGGTAAGTTTTCACTCATTTGCTACAGCAGACCCAAAGCTAATGTGCACAGAGCTCCGACGACAGCGAAACCGAACGGGCCAAGGAGGAAGAACGGAAGAAGGCAGAAGAAGAAAAGAACCAAAAAGAAGCGCTCTCCAAGGGAGCAAATACTCCTTCCGGTCGACCCAAGCATACAGACGCCCTAAAGAAAGCTTCGGCTGCTGGATCACGGAAAAGGCTTGGATCACCAAACGCTTCCGACGCGAGCGGCACCGATACATCTCGAAAGAAGGCCAAAAACATGCATCTCCCTACGTCTCAACCCCCATCGCGTCCGATCTCTCCATCCGCTTTGCAGGTAGGTACAATCATTTCTCTTTGACCAATATATACTGATTTGTCTAGGGCAAGAAACGCGTACGAAACATTGCTGGTGGCGCTGGATCTGGCAGTGATGGCGACACTGCTGCCGGATCTGGAGCTGAAATGACCGAGGGTGGCAAGATCAAGAAACTGAAACTCAACCCCCCTACTTCGGTTTCTCGTGGCGGCACTCCACAAGGGTCTCGCGGCGCAAGTCCTTTGCCTCGACTCTCCGGAAGCCGTGCCAACAGCCCCGACGGCCCTAGAGGTGAGTTTCGGTCCCAATCGATATTTGATACAAGAGATAAACTAATTATCAGCAGGCCTTCGTATGTCGACTCCAGTTTCTGGCAACCAGACGTTCCCGACAGCTGGCGAAATCCACGCAGCCATCCCAGCATCTGGCATCCTCAGCAGCGACCTCTTGAAAGTTTTCCGCCCTCGTATTGGCGAATCCAAGGAGAACCACCGGAGATTTATTGCCATTGTCAAGGATGTCAGTGTTTATGGAAAAGAGGATCGGATGCTGCGACCAGGTCCCTGGAAGGGCAACTGAGGCTTGCGAAAGGTACTTCCGAGTCAAAATCAAATGTTGAATACTTTCCATGTTTTTACTTCTATTTCATATCTACCAATCGCTGTCCAGCAGACATCTTGTGACTAGGATTGCTTTAACTAGAATATCTTCTGTTAGCGGTCTATCCTGGTTGTTTCATAGTTGTCCATAATGAACGCCTACCTGATATCCTCTACATATGTACCAATGAAAATTATTACTAGCCACGGGCCCTATCCACCTGTGATACCTCTACACAGTGAAGAAATTAAGCAATGGGATACAATCCCTGATTGATGGACAATGTCAAATGTGGATAGAGACCTGAGGCTAGGATGTTCATTGGTAGAGGATGGGAGGACCCGTGGTTCCGCATGTTTAAGGTTGCATAACTAATAACCTTGTCTAAAAGGATCGCAGTTTCCCTTTCGGGCTGTGTTACAACCATTGCCCGAATTGTGGGGGTGGGGTTATGGTGGGGAATCACTGGGATTATGGTGGGTCAGAAGTGTGAATAGCTTCGAATGATACCGAAGGAGGAAAGAAAAAGGAGGCCCCAAGGTTCTTCAACAGCAGCTAGCCTAGGGAAAGCAGGGCACATCCCATCTAAGCCATGGGGGTTGGGGGTTGTGGTTTATAATATCCGCCTTGACCTTTCCATTTATACTCACTTTGGCTATCGTTCCTTCCTTAGGTAGAAACTCAGGAACGCTCTTGCCTTGGGGCAGTCCCTTGCCAGTCCCTTCCTGCCTATTTGAGATCGAGTGGTGCATTCCAATAGTTGTCCAGTTGCACGTCATGGCCTACAATCCGCAGTACTGACCAAACTCAAGAATGCATTGTCTCGTGGGATATGATATGCCCCCTCGAAAAAGTACAAAGCTGTATGCATTTGTGCTTGAATCATGAAGTCTCAGCGATCATTACATCCATGCTGGCAATGGTTATATAAAATGACTTTCTATATATAATATGCAATTGACTTGATGCATCTAGTTTTTACGTGTACAAAGACGCTAATTTGCAGATGATTCTTTACATTTCTAAATATATTTCAAGTTCGGTGCATACAGCCAATTTTCTGCTCGCAATCAAAGCAAATAAGACCAGAGTCCCAAGCTGGTCGCTATGCACTGCTATATAAGTACACAGGGTCAGCGGAGATGCGGTTCGTACGGACTATGGAATCATGACTACATCTTCAAATTGTATAGTTACGGATAGAAATCTTTGTTATTTTTAAAAGATAATATCGCTAATCAAGAGACTATAAGCTCTAAATGAAAATTCAACAGAAAAAGACATAGAAAATGTCATCACTCCCATTATAAACACAACCAACCAGGAGACGAAGCTGGTTCGGAATCTAAAAAACGTAAATCACAATCATTACGTCTCAACCCAAGAGAACAATTGATCTCTGGGATCTATATGCGAACATGAAAAGAAAATGCACGGCGCTCTAGAACTGCGAGACCGCGACAGCAACAGCTTGCGAGTCGCTGTGGCTGATGCTCACGCTGACATTCTTGACACCGGCCTGCTTGGCGGCGGCGGCGGCGGCACCATGAAGCTGGAGATATGTTAGCTTTGTCACTGGGATCATGGGATAATCATGCACTTACGTTCACCACTGGAGCGCCGTTGGCATCAACTCCGATCTCGATATCCTTCAAAGCGGCACCAGCACCCTTGCTGCTGACACCCAATGACTTGAAGACGGCTTCCTTGGCGCTCCATCGGCCTGCAAACGAGGACTGCGGGGAGGGAGCCTTGCGGCAGTAGTCCTGCTCACTCTGAGTGAAGTTGCGCTCAACGAAGGTCTCGTTCTCAATGTTGACGGAATCGATGTGCTCGACATCAACACCGATCTTGGAGTTCTCGGCGGCATTTGCCTTGGCAAGAGACTCGAGGGTCTGGCGAGTGCTTTCGGACTTCTTGGCTTCGGGACCAGTGGCGGAATACTTGAGCTCAGAGGTCTTCTTGTCGACAGACACGCGGTAGTCGGGGTTCAGGAAAACCTTGCTCTGCAGATCATCCTCGTAAGGAGCCTTGGTCTTGGCAACGAAGATGCTGTTGTTGATCAGGCCATTGTGGAAGTAGCGGTAGGCCTTCTTCTGGCGAGCCTCGACCTTGGTCTTGTATGTCTCGTACTGAGCCTGGTCAAGAGTGGCAAACAGATACTTGGGGTGAATACCAATGACCTGAGCACCCTTCTGACCGAAACCGAAGGAGGTGACGGAGAACGCCTTGACACCATCGGTCTGGATGCTGCGGCTGGGGTAGACAATGTAGTCGAACTTTTCCATGACCTTGTCAACGTTGTCAGCGTTGCGGTTGCCCGGAACAAGACCACTTTCCAAGACCTGCAAGCAGCCATTGAACATCCAGGCACCGGCGGCACCCTTGGGGTGACCAGTGAGGTACTTCTGGAAGATACCCATAACTGCATTGCCCTTAGTACGTCCAAGGTGCTTCATCTGTTGGCAGAGGACATCGGACTCGTTCTTGTCGTTGGCAACAGTCGAAGTACCGTGGAAGGATGCGATGTCAATGTCGTCGACTGTGAGACCCCAAGTAGCCATGGCGCCACGGAGGGGAGCAATGCGGGGATCCTGCTTCCAGAAGTTGTTACCCAGACTGTATTGGGCATCCTTCTTCTGGCGAATGGCTTCGCGCTCAATGTGCTGAGCACGCTCCTGCATGTACTCGGCCTCATTGAAGGTCTCGTCGCTCTGAGCCTTCATGGCATCAGCCTCCTCCTGCAGGTACAGAAGCTCGGCTTCTTGCCATTCGTTGATCTGCTTCTTGCGGAGATCCAATTGACGGCGACGGTACTTGATGTCCAACAGAGGGGACGGGAACTTGCCGGGGTTCTCACGAGCGGTGGTCAAAACACCCTGGCCAGGAGCAGGAACGGACCGTCCGATCTTGTCAGTGGCGGTCGTGGTGAGAGCAATGATACCGTGGATGGGAACACCCATGTCGAGAGCAAGCTGTGCAGTCATGATAAGTTGCATACCGCAACCCTGGGACTCCATGAAGCCAGCGCGAGTGGTAGTGGCAGGGCGAGACATCTCTTGCGGGGTGCGACCGTGGGCGAATTCCTCTTCAGCGTTGCTAGTGGCCTTCATGTTGGCGAACTCATAAGAACCCTCCTCCTGGAAGTCATCGAATCCACCAACGAAGCAAACGCGGGCCTTGCCCTCGACAATGGTCTCATAACCAATATCCACAGACTCAACAGCCGTGGCGCAAGCACCGACAGGAGTCTTGATAGGACCAGTAGAGGACAACAGCAGCATGTTGACCCAGGCGGACATAGTGTTAATGAAAGACTCCTGCAAGATATCCTTTTGCAATGGCTTATCCATGAAGCGATCCTTGTACATACCGCGCAAAGCGTGGGTACCACCAATACCAGAGCCAATACAGTTACCAACCTCAGACAGGTGAACATACTTGTAGAACTCGTAAGGGTCGGTGATACCGGCGGAAAGCATAGACTCAGCAGTGCAGACAAGAACAAAGAGAGTCACGGGATCCACCTGCTCGATAATATCCTCAGGGATACCGTAGCGGCTGGCGTCCCAACCAGTGGGCACCTGACCGGCGACAAGACGATCGAACTGTAGAGCCTTGGGAATGAGCATGGTGGCGCCCTTGCGAAGACGGACGGTGTACTCTCCAGACTCGGGGATCTCGAAGATCTCAACCTTGTCTCCGTGCTCACGCTTGAACTCTTCAGCTGTCTCCTTGGAAGCCTCGAAAGGTTCGAGGTCCTCCTGGATGACAATTTCCTGAAGAAGTTGCTTCTTCTTGGGATCGTATCCCTTGAACAACTCAGGCTCGATGAGACGGATACCAGTGTGCTCCAAGATGTGCTTCTCGTACTTGGGCTTGATATCCTTATCATCAACGGGCTCACCGGTCTTGGAATCAACCCAGCCAGAGTAGGCCTGGCCCTTGAGGGGACCGTTGTGGTGTTTGATCAGACCCATGATCCACGCCATCTCAACACAGCCCTCCAACGAGAACTTGCCCTTGGATTCCATCTCCCATCGGGTACGGGAGTTACCATAAGGACCGACTTCAGCGAAACCAGTGACAACGACCACCTTGTCGAGGTTGACCATGCCCTTGAGAGACTCATTGAGCGGCTTGACTTCCTTCTCCCAGTCGGGCAGCTTAGGGAATTCAAACTTGATGTTGGCACGGGGCTCTGCAACAACCTTCTTGTAAAGAACTCCACCGTCTTCGCCGTTAACGACCTTGTGCTCGATGGCGGTCTCCTTGATGACGGCCTGGCGGACATCGCTGGTCTCCATGATGTCGGTACGAAGCTTGGTCATCAGACCCTGCAGGTCTGGAATGAATTGCAGACCACCGTTAAGATCAGCAAAGACTGGGTCGAGCTGGCAAATGTTGACGATGGCCGGAGACATCAGTCCAAGAAGGTTGAAAGCCATCTCCTGCTGGGAGAATGTACGAACGCCAAGCTTCTCGACACCTTCAGCGACCATGTTGTTGCCGCTCATCAGACCAGTACCACGTGTCCAGCCAATGACCGCACCGCAGATGGTGAGGTAGTGGCCCCAGTTCTCCGAGTACCAACGGTTGAAGAGAGTCTCCAAAGCAAGTTTGGACTCGGAGTACAGGCCATCATTACCAAAGGTGCCGTGGTTTGGCGACAGGGGCAAGACAACTTGAGCAGGGCGGGTTTCGTAGCCATGAGCTTGCTTTTGGGTCTTTACTGAGCCCAAAAGACGGAGCAGGTTGGTCAACATGATACGGTGAGCAAGCTCAGACTTGGAATCGATAGAGTCGATCTCACGGCCATTCTCGGGGATGGCAGCGAAGGGAACGATAAAGTCCAAGTCCCAGCCAAGACCCTTCTTGGTGTCATAGATATAGTCAACCAGAGCCTCAACATCCTGCTTGCTACCTTGGTTGAACGGCACGACCACAAGCTGGGAACCACGGGCACCGTAACGGGTGTA